AGCGCCGTAACAAGAGGCCGTTATGCATGAGCATGCGCGCAACCGCTGCGTTATAACGACCATGGGCTCTAGAATACGGGTAGAATAACATTGTAGTAGCTGCGGAAGCTTCGATTCTGAACATAATTGATGTTTTTACTTATCTTCCACATTTTTCCAAACAAAACCAAGTAGATATATTTACAATGCACACGAATATCTTTCAAACTTTATATAAATTACTGTGAGTCTCGGGCTAGATTTATAACACGAAGCCACTTTGTACCGTTAAAATGTAGTGAATTATTTGTGCACACCTTTAGCAATAATAAATTCCTAAGATGTGAATCGATTGCACTGCAATAGTTTATTTCATAACTTATAATGATACAGCTATAGAACTACACATAGATATTTATGATAACTTGATTCAAACAAGCTCAACTCTTCAGCCAAAAGAATGCTAAATCTGTCGTGAGTGCTCAACAGCACGTAAGAATTTGCAGAATTAACACCGTTCCACATTTTTCATAGACAAGAAAACATTATCAAACCATTTGCAAAGCATAAGTCTTGATATTGGTAGCCTTATTCTAATGAGTCCTGGTGGTATATAAAAGGAAAGTAGTATTTCATGTAACAGTTAATAATATTTAAGCGTAAATATTGTACACTTCAAGAAACTGTCTTTCGAACATTTCGAGGTCGATGTTACTAAACGATGCCTAATTATATTACTACATGTGTACATTTACCATTTACTTCATAACCTGCGTTGAATCTTGACCATCACTCAGCAAAAACTGGAATAGTAGTTGCGTATATAAACCACTGAAGCCTCCATATTGTAAACACAAAGTCATTAATATCAACATTTCTTAAATAAGATTTTAAACGGTCCCAATCAGTCCAATGACGCCAGTGTTTTTCCTCGTTGTAGGTTACACTATTTATGGGTGTTCTTGAGTCATGACAGAACATTTCAGAGTCAAAAACAGCCAAAAACATTTTTGGAAATTGTCCTTCGTGTCGTTGTAATTTCTCGCTTGAAGTGAATCACTAATGAATTTCAATGAATTTTCAACAAACTGGCGCATGCGCACGCCAAACGGCCCCTTGTTCAAAATATCTAAAGTTGTCTATTGAAAGGAGATAACGGCATTGATAATCTAATTACCGTGTCCAGGCCGAAGGCCTGCGGCACGTTTATAAAATGCAGCGACTTCATTATTTTTTTTTAATTTTTTTTTAAATTTTATTTTTTTTCACGTCGCAGTTTAGCAATCCCCAGGGACCCATAATCCAGAGTTCCAAGTTTCGATCCTCGACTGGAGCACGTCTGAAAAATTCTTTCTTTTTTTTTCTTTCTTTCTTTTAACTGAATTATAATTGTTCTAGTCATGTTATATTTTTATCGATAGCAATTTGTTTTATCAATATTTACGAGCCGCGTGTTTTAAATTTTAGAAACAAGATGATACTCGAACAGCGGCGTCATATATTATACAAGAATAACTTAGGTTCGCGACCTTGATCCTCGACTCATTTTTTTTTTCTTTCTTTCTTTCTCCCTTTCTTTCTTTCTAGTTCGGAGAGATTCGGACATTCTGCGAGGTGGGGGTCAACTGGCTTGAAAAGACGCTAAGGGATGGGGGGGGGGAGCCAAGCAATAATTATAGTACGCAATGGAAACATCACTGTGAGTTCCAAATTTACCAATAATACTACGTGCGGCATATCAGGGTACGAGTTCGCGCTATATCAGAGCGTCTTCACTACTCGAAAATTGATAAATTGATAAATGGCAGACATTTTTTTATTTACTTCATCGTCCAAATATCTACATAATCACTTTGCTGTTAAAAATGTCTTCAGAACGAAGATGCGTATTGAACACAGTTATCTTATATAAAAATATATTAAGGCCCTTTGATAACCATTACATTTATGATTACTTTTTCATACATGCTTTGTACAATTCTATCATAAATATTCAGCACGTATACTATGTTTTCCTCTTTGTTTATATGATAATATATAGAGAGCATTATATGGCCATAGTACGATCTGCGATCGCTCTCGAGATATCTTAAAATTATCATCTCCAAGAGAACATCCATGTAATGTTCCCTTTTTTTATATATATATGTAGATATCGATTGAAGTTAAACAAAAGCTTAAAAATTCTTTATCAAAATAGCAAGTCGAGTTACTATTACTGCGCCAACAGCGACATCTTCACATGTAAAAGATTTATCTTCAACTTGTGGAAATATCAAAAAGAAAATTAGAGAAAATCCGATATCTAAATAAGGGACTGATTTCTTATTATGGTCTGGCAAATCAGCTGGTCCATTCAATACGCAAATTGCATGATTGCACCATTGTACTACCRAYACCACAATACTTTTTGCAGTTTAATTTGTCCGGCAGCGATTAGAAAAATAAATTACTAATTACATTACAAAAAAAGCGAGAAAACATTCTCGTCTTGSCAGTGTACGAGCCTATAGTGATAGGGCTGCAATTTAGGGTATGTATTTTTACAGCTTTACGGCTTAACTACAATAGTAGCATACTTCAGTATGGGCGGTTGGAAAGTCTACATGTATAATAAGTTCACCTATATGAGTC